CAGTCAAATGTCACAAAGTCCCGCAAGACTAGAGGAGATGAAGATTTTATATCTTAATATATGCCAAGAAAACTCAACGCCCTGAGCAAGGCTCTGCACAGGTAAGCTCCCCCGGTCCTGTCAGGCACCCTTCCACACCGGGGCACCCCCAGCTGCACCAGCTGTGGAACTGATGAAAGCAAGCGGCTGCTTGGAGGAGAGTGACTCTGCTGGCACCTGGACCAAGGAGACCAAGAGTGCCACCTACAAGAAATTCAAGAGTGTCCCCACAGGAGAGAGCTACTCTGAATGAACCACCTGCGAAAAGCCTCAGTTGGAGCCAGCAATTAGCAACACATCCAGGAATCTTATCAAAAGCTGCAAATCCATCAGTGACCACATTCACAGAGAACTGCTCACTTAAGGGAGGACTATGGGCCAAGATTACAAGTGGAAGACTCGCATTCAACCTGGCCAGCAATATCCACTGTAGCCCCAGGCACATCTTCTGACACAGCCGGCTAAGGAGCATCGAACAAGCCCAGCCCTGACTTCCTCACTAGCCCACCGCCCTCTACGTGGTAGCCAGGACGTGTGCTAATGAGAAGGCAGCCAGGAGGGACATGCCTGACCAAGCTGAAAGCACACCATTGTTTTACCAGGGAGACACAGCTTAGCAACTGAGGATGCTTTGTGCCTAAAAAAGTTAGGCAAAATGTTTCAGTTCTTGAAGCAATCTGTGAATTAGCTTATGCAGAATCAGAAATCACATTCATGAAAGATGGTGACTAGAGCTTCTCTTTTATTCAGAAAAGAGATGTCCTGTCTGATGTTTTCTCTCAGCCAATTTTGACGCTCAAAAGCTTTCTCTTAAATTTGCAAAGTTCACGCAGTCCTCACTGCTTTGCTAAGTTTGCCACTGAACACAAAGCAGACGAATTCAGCCGTGCTGCATGAGTACAGCTGCAGCCTACTCTCCTCCATCGTATGGTCAGCATCACATCCTGATCCGGATCGTGCTAGTGGGGAGGAAAGCCTCTTCCTGTCTGCCCCCCAACTTTTGCCTTGCCCAGGAAATTCACCCCTGAAACAGAAAGCAGACTGTTAAAAGCGCCAGCATAGGCACCCAGCCCAAGTATTTCCCAAGGGTTGTTTTATTGCTTTATTGGACTTGACGTTGGTTCTTTCAACAGACTTTAAAAACAAAGAAATTGTAAGAATCGAGCTGCTCCCTGCATATTCCTGCAGACTTCTTCGCCTCCTGATAATGCATTAGGATTTCCCTCTCCCTGCAAAGGCTAGGTGCCAGATGGGAATGCAGCAAGCTATGTGTGAGGCAGCAGAACTGGAGGAATCCCTGTTCCCAGGTTGAATCCCTGTTCCCAGGTTTCAGCCCAGGCCTGAGCCTGCCTGTTCTTACACCTGTGAGAAAGGAACACCAAGCACATCTACACAACATGGAGGGAGAGGAGAGGCTTTGGTCTATACAGCTGTTATAAAGCACACAGACGTTTTAGCACCAAATGACTGGAAAAGGCAAAACAGATTCATGTCATCCTGGCTCCCAGCCCAGCACGTCAAGGCCATAGGATATTTATCATAAGCTCCTTTTTGTTGGATGATAAGAAAGTGCATGGGGCAACTGTCTGCAACTAGGAAACCCTGGGAAAAACACAAACCCTAAAACAAGATGCTAGCCAAAGGCACTAGTTTTCCTGGTGTATGCACACATCCACCAAATACCATGTTGCATCTGGGTTTCTGATCCCTTAATTGTGCGCTATGGGAAGAACACCTGCCTGCTTAGTCTTTTCTCCAGCACAAAATAAGAACGAGGGTACTTCAAGAATGCCTGCATTTATTTAATTTGCTATGATAAAGTGTATTGGAGCATGCTCCAGCCATATCCAAGAGCCGAAGCTCTAAAGCCCTTTCTAAATTTACAATTACACAACCCTCAGTTCAGCTATAAGGCGACTATAAAACAGATTTAGAACAGATGTGCATATGACTAATGTACATGCATATTCATTCACAGGTACAAACTGAACTACAAAGTGACCATTCAAAGGGCAAACAAGGACAGATCCCACAGAAGCTTGCTAAGGTAACAAACTTTAGATTCCAGATCATAATTTTTTGTCTGTGCT